AAGCGAAAGATAGGTGATGAGCGAAAACTCGTTGATAAAGACAAGCCGAAGAATGAGCGCATAAACAGGGGTACACTTAGGATCGGTCGGTTACGCAAAGGCGAGTGGAGGTCAAAGCCTTCACCTCTTTAATTACTCCGTGGGCCAAGATATTGATGAAAATTCGGGACATGAAAGAGCTGGCCGAGATTGATGGCGGCGTCTACCAGTAAGAGAGATAAGAGCAAATACTGTCATTTCCATAAAGACCATGGGCATGACACAAAAGAATACATCCATTTGAAGGAAGAGATCGAGCGCCTCTTGAAGTTGGGATTTTTTACTAAGTTCGCAAGGAATGATCGAGGCAAGCAGAAGGCTGATGACCGACCACCACCTAGGGTTGGTGTTATAAATGTGATTATTGGAGAGATCGCAGCGGGGGGACTCGTACTCGACTAGAAAGAGCTATGCACTCACAGTCGAAGTCTGCTCCATTCAGAAAAAGGCCAGGTTCAATCAAAGCATCACTTTTGGTGAGGAAGATTTAATAGGCGTTGTAACCCCCCATGATGATGTCTTGGTGATAGTCGGCAACATAGCGGACTACAATGTCCAGAGGGTGTTAGTTGATGCCGGTAGCGCAGCGAACGTTCTCACTTAGGAAGCATTTGTGGGGTTGAAAATTTCGTTGGAAAAAGTGAAAGCAGTATCCACCCCCTACAAGGATTCAGAGGTGCTACTGTAATACCGGATGGAGTTGTGGAACTACCAGTGACATTGGGTACTTACCCCGTAAGCGTAGTGATCTTAACTAACTTTTTGGTTGTCAGACCCCCATAGCGTATAATGCATGGCGTATAATGCAATCTACGGTCGACCCCTGCAGAATGCTGCTCAGGCTATTTTCTCTACTTACCACCAAGTGAAGAAATTCCCAACTAGTCGTGGTGTGAGGTGTGTGAGGGGTGATCAACAGTCTTCGATATGTTGATAGTATACGGACGAAAGGATCTTCACCAGTTATGATGTTGGACCTTGAGCCTTCAAGGGGGTGAATTGAGCCCTTCGATACTACGGAAAAAAATTTGGTGGCAGGAGGGCATGAATTTAAAGAGGGGGGGCGAATTGGAAATGACCGTATGAGGTGATCCGAAGCCTTGGAAAGGGACTTTATAGCCAAAAGGACTTGAAAGGAAAACCACTAGGCAGGCCGTGAAACACTGAGCATCTCAAGAGGTATTATCATTAGACCAATGTGCAAGGATTTCGAGTCGCATGATGCTTTCTTTTAAATGTAGTCGATAGGGGGTTTCATTTTCTTTTCTGATGTAATGATCTCTTGAAAATATATGAGCTAGGATGTTCGACTAGTATTCGTGATGTAATGTCTGCTACAGGCACACTTTATTGAAATTGTTTAATGAGAAGCCTGGTTGACGGTAGATGATGAGGGAGCTAACGAATAGTCAGCCTAACTTGGA